TGTGTCTGAAATGTATGCAGTATAGAATTATTATTGACTTGGACCCATTCAATGCCCATAGAGTATTGAGAAGTATCCAAATTAATAACAGAGCTGTCAGTATAGAAATAAAGTTCTTGTTGGCTAGTATTATAATTGGCAATTTGTTGGAGTTTATGAGTTAGTGTACAGGGTTCAAAGATAGTTGGAATTAAGTTTGTTGAAATAATAATATTAGGTGGGATTGGAGTTTGGGTAGGATGTCTAATTGCAACTGAGTATAAAAGGTCCAAATAATTGGCATTAAAGTTAAGAGTTTTGTCATTTGTGTTAACTTGACCAAAAAATTGAGTTGAAAAATTAGTAGGAATAGTACATTTGTTATTGATTGTGTATAAGTTAAGAGAACAACTAGGACATGCCTTTGATTGAATAAGTGCAAGTAGATATAAGCAAATAAATTGTGATTCAATTTGACATTGCCAGTAAGTAATAAGCATAATGCCAGATTGAGAAGACTGTCTTCTGGCTTTACCAGTAATGATTTGGTTATCAAGTACTGTAATAAGCCAGAGTTTTTTATATGATGAGAAGTATCTAGTTGTATAGCTATAGTAGTTAGAGTCAGGTAAATATATGTGTAAGTATAATGTACGATTATAAAAGTAATTTGTAACTTGGTCTTCTAAATAAATAAACTACAAGATTGTTTGCCTTTTAAAATTTTATGAATGCGAGGAGAGATGTGTTTCCAGTCCAGTAAACATAAATTATCAAATATAGTAAGTTGGTCTAAATATAGGATACAATGATATTTAAGTTGTTTTTTGAAGGTTAGGTATTTAGGATGTGAGCAAAGAAGGGATTCTAATGAGATAGAGCCCTCTTGAATAGTGTGTGACATGTTGTAAGTTGGGTTAGAAGTAAATGTTATACTGAGATGTTTGAAAACTTGAATAATTTTAAAGTTAGTAGAATGTTTGTTTGATCAATTAATAGTAAGATTGTTGTATATTAGTATAATAGTAGATGACTAAAGATTTTTTTGAAGTTGCTAAAGTCAAATATAAATGCTAATACCAAGAAGATCAAAAGAGTTAAGTCTTTTGGTATAGTTTGTAATATGGTGTTGTAGTTGAATATCCTATATATTGCAAATATTATATAATTATGGATAAAATAAAGTACTGGTAGAAGTTGTATGACTAAGTTTGGCTTTGCTTTTAACAAGTCCAATATGGTTTATAAGAATTTTGTTACAAGTTTTTGATTAAGAATTATGTTGTGAAGACAATATTCGATTGTAGGGATAATAACTGTATTAATGATATATCGTGCATGTGTATCAGTGATTTGTTTAGTATTTGCAATTTTAATGAGATGTAAAGACTCAGCTATAATGAGCTTTGTCTGTTTTGTTTGTTTGTTATTAAGTGTAAACCAGCATTCTATTGTAGTATATTCTTATACCAGCACCTATTAACTAAACTAATATAAAATCTTGCAGTTGGAGTTAGAGTTATAATATAGTAAAAATGATGACATAAATATTCATATGATTTTTTGAGCATACAAGTACAAAGAAAAGTGCTATTATTCAAAAGATATACAAAATAAGAAGTTTCAGAACTTAATAAGTGCATAACTTTCTAGAATTTAAGAACAATTAATAAACATATAGAAATAATTTTAGTTGTATTTGTGAGAAATCAAACAGATTATCAATACACTATTCTGACTCATCAATTTTCTAAAATTATAATTAATTAAAGAGTAACAAAATAATTAGATTTATTATATTAGAAAATAATTATAATTTATTTTAGTAAAGTTGTAAAATATAAAATTTGATTATATTTCATATTATATAGATTGTCTTCACTAGAAATAAGTCAAATTTCTCTAATAAATCTGTTTATTTCTAGGAATTGAAACTGTTTAATTATTTAAAAATTGCTTCATAGTTTTGGATAAAATTATATTAATTATTGGCTTGAATTATTTTAATGCTAACAAAATAAATAGTTAAATAATTAAAAAAATTTTAGGCAGCTTTAATTCCTATTTATTTTTATTAATAACAGCTTATATATTGATTTTGTAAATTCAGTAAACATATCAAGAGAAACCAAACTTTGATCATATAATTGAAGTCTGGTTTTTTCTTGACATCATCTATTTAATTATTATAATATAAAGATTAGATTAACTATAAAATCTTATCCTCTCTTTAAAACATATAGCTTTAAAATTAATCTCTGTAGTATGATAATAAAGACTCAAATTCATTTGCTCCTTCTGCTGTTTTATTATATTTAGCATTACAAACTCATTTAAATGCTATATTACTGGTTTAAAAATAGTTTTTGCTGCATTTTTTGGTCCTATTTGTGGTATAGTTTGCTTTCAACTTACAAACTTGCAATAATCAGTTTCTTTTTGGCATCTTTCTTCTAAGGCATCAAACAGTTTACATAATAAAAGACCTAAGCTTCCAAAGAGATACTTTAATGTTAAATTTCCATTCTCATTATGAGAAATAGACTGTATACTAGCTGTGAAATATCTACTAATAAAAGCATATGCCTATAATTTAGTACAACAACCTAAAGATCTTACTAAATAATTATTAGATTGTGAATAATTTTGTAATAGTTTCTTTCATTTTTATTTAAATAAAAATAATTTAATTACTTATAATACAACATTTTTGTAAAATTATTATATTGTTGCTATTTATCTTTCATTAAATATTTTCTCTGTTAAACTGTTTCTTATAATATAAAAGTCTTTTATAAAATTATTATAATTCAAACCAAGTAACTTTTTTAAATTTTTTGGTAAATTTTGGCTTATATGCCAAATACAATATATATAAAATATTTAGAAAATTGTGTTAAAACAGCACTATTAACTGCTAGATCACTATTTGTTACTAAGACTTTTGGTACTAAACCTGTTGTACTTATTACAAACTTAAAACCCATTTATATGAGAATTGTGTTTTATTCTCAACTATTGCTTAAGCTACAATCTGTGTTTTTAAATTATTATCAGATGTAATAAAAATAGACAAAAAATGATTATATTGGTTAGTTTTGCATGCATTATTATGCATAATTACATTGTGATAATGTAACTATAAAATTTGTTGTTTTAGACTTATTCAGAAAAGATGTGTTAAAGAAAAGGTAACTAGATCAAATTTCATTAAAATAGCCTATTAGAGGTCTTTAATTTTTTTTTTATTAAGTATTTTTAACAACATTTTTACATCATTTTTGCTTGGCACAAAGTTATACTTAAAAAGCTGTATTGTATTATATAAGTCTAGTTGATGTATTCTAATATTATATTTTTCTTTATTTATTTGATATTGCATAGTTGCATTTGCTTTTATAATGACTGTTAAAAAATGAATTTCTTTGATAATGTTTTTTGGCAGCTTTCTTAGTGTTGGATTAAAATGGCTTGCTAATAGCCTAAGCTTATGACCAACATGAAAGTTGTTAAAAGTTATGTCTTCAAACAATTTTTGCTGGTTTTATACCAAAGGTTAACTTTTTATGAGCATCCTACTTAACATGACATTCTATTTGATTTTTTTACTAGTTTTTTTGCATAATGACACAAATATGTTTACTTTATTACTTGTTGAATTTCTATATCTACTCTTTCACTACTACCAATTTGTATTTCATAGCCTTTGGCAATAGCATATTTCTTTATAAAGTTTGCTACTTGATCTTAGTTCTAAAAGGTTTTGCCAACAGAAAGCTTTTCAGTATCATCAAAACTAAAATAAAAAATTATAATAAGAAAAAAGATTAACTATAAAATAAAATTTAAGCAATTACTTACTTATTAATATCAGAAATATTATTTGTACTATCATACACTGCTAATACCTCTAGTTTCATGTTTATGTCTTGACAATTTGATATTTCAAGTTCTACATCTTGGCTATCTAACATATCAGATTCTATGTTTTAATTATTTAATATTTGAGGTTCTGTGTCTTGATTGTTTGACTCATTTATATTTTAAAAAAAATTTTTTTAATTAATATTAAAGTTGTAAACTAGAATATAAAAAAATTTTCTATCACTTTTTTAAAATGGTTTTTTTTTTTGTATGTATTAGCCTTTTTTTTTATTCCTTAGATTGTAGGTCAACACAGGCAAATTTGCCCATGTTTTTACATTTTTTTAGCTCTAATCTACTTTTTTAAATTGTTAAAATATATAAATAAAATTTGGTATAATAATATTTGAAAAT